AATTCACCCCAAGTACGAGAACCTCATCTCGAGACTCCTGAATGGTGAACGCCTACCGCAGGATGCAGGCGCGTTAGAAATCCTGTTTGTTGCCATTTTCTCCAGAAGTGAGTATCTGCTGATGTTTTGTAATTATATAGAATGAACGAGAGTTCCAAGACACCCGAGTTTTCCGCGCCTGCGGAAGCCTCCAAGATGACTGTCAATCAGCAGCACCTCAAGCAAGCTTGGGATGTCTCTCAAGTGTCCACCAAAGAGGATTGGAATGAGTGGATGCACCGCCTTTCCGTCGAATTCATGAAAGAATCTCCGTCGCATGCATTGCGAGCATGTATGAGTCTGGTGGACATACACCAACCACTTGCCAAAGAGTTGTTTAATGCTGCATTTATATCATGCTGGAGCGAATTATATGACCAGTATCAAGTGTGTTCCTTTTTCAATCTGTACCGTGAATCACGTCCGACGAGTATTGCAGGAGGACCTCGTGCGCTCCATCGACTACGCCATCACGTCCAACACGGCGCCACCAGATCTGATTCATCGTCTACTGAACCTTGCTGAGTTCATGGAGCACGAAGAGAAGCCTCTTCCCATAGAGAACCGCACTCTCGGGGAGTACGCCATGAAATACCACGCTTATGCCAAGGCTCTGCATTACAAAGAACTCGAGTTCTTTTCGGAAACTTCGCCCACCACAATCGAAGCGCTCATAGGCATAAACACGAAACTTCAGCAGCACGACGCGGCTTGGGGTACACTGATAATGGCCAGAGAACAATATGACGTTAGTAAGCATGAAGAATGGTACGAACGACTGGGACGTTGGCAAGAGGCCTTGGCTGCGTATGAGAAGAAGGCAGAAGAAGATCCCGATGCACCAGACATCGCGATCGGAAAGATGAAATGTCTGCACGCTCTTGGGGAATGGGATCAACTTGCCGCTCAGGTCGAGGAGAACTGGGCCAACGCGAGCCACGAAGATCGAAGGGAAATCGCGCCTATGGCGACCGCCGCTGCTTGGTCACTGAACGAGTGGGATTCTATGGAAGATTACATTCAGACCATGCGAAGCGACTCCGCCGACAGGGCTTTCTACAAAGCCATCCTCTGTGTCCACCAGAACCAGTTCCCTAAAGCATTGTCTCAGATAACGAAGGCTCGTGACCTCCTGGATCCTGAATTGACATCCTTCGTTGGCGAAAGCTATAGTCGATCTTATAAGTAAGTTGCCCGTAGGTCCAGTCTTGCAGTTGTTAACTGTCGTCTGCAGTACGATGGTCCGGGCCCAAATGCTTTCTGAGCTAGAGGAGATAATCATATACAAGCAATATGCGGACCAGCCTGACCGCCAACGCACGATGCGGAAGACCTGGATGAAGCGGTATGGATTTCGCGTCATGGTTCCTCATCTGTTGACACCCCTTTAGATTGCAAGGATGCCAGCCCGACGTCGAAGTCTGGCAGCGCATCCTACAAGTCAGGACTCTTGTGCTCAGTCCAGAAGACGATCCTGTCATGTGGATCAAGTTCGCGAACTTGTGTCGCAAGTCGGACCGCATGGTTCTTGCAGAAAAGACACTGAACTCTCTATACTCCCTGGATCGAGTATGTTCCCACCTCTCGCGATCGTCCGTAGTTGATTCACACGAATGATATAGCCCCAGTATACGCGGGACCAGAGACATGTCAAGGCACCGCCAAATGTCGTCTATGCTCAACTCAAGTTCATGTGGGCGAATGGCTCTCGAGAGGAATGTCTTAACTTCTTGCACGAGTTCACGAACAATATGGCGCGAGATCTCCAGCTGGAAACCAGTGAACGTGGTCAGAGGCCTGGCGTTTCCAAGCAGAAACTGGATGAATTGTCCCGTCTACTTGCAAGATGTTACTTCAAGCAAGGTCAATGGCAAGCTGAAGCCCACGATGACTGGGGATCGGTGAGATCCTCTTTTTTGTCTGTCTTCGACCGTATCAGCTCTTCTGATCCATGTTATAGAGGAATATCAAGGAGATCTTGCACTCCTATCTACTTGCTACGCATTATGACCAGACGTGGTATAAAGCCTGGCACACGTGGGCGTTAGCCAACTTCGAAGTAGTAGGGTATCTAGAAAATCAGAATGAGATCAGGACAGCCGATGTTGTGGGAACAGGCTTGGTTGCCCATATCGTCTCGGCTGTGCAAGGCCCGTGAATACTATGTTCCCTTACGAACACGATGACTCAATGATGTTTCTAGGTTTCTTCCGATCGATAGGTCTTAGGAATGAGAACGCTCTACAAGATACACTGCGCCTCCTGACTCTTTGGTTCAAGTACGGTGCACACGACGACGTCAGCCATGCCATGGGCAACGGATTTGCTACAGTTGAGGTTGATACATGGCTGGAAGTCATTCCGCAGGTATTTCATTCGTGGACACGATATAATTACACTACTGACTGGACTACAGGTTATTGCCAGAATTCAGACGCCGAGTGCCAACATTCGGAGGAACATCAACAATCTTCTAACTGACGTGGGGAAACACCACCCACAAGCCTTGATATACCCTCTGACCGTAGCTTCGAAATCGTCGAGTCTGGTGCGAAAGAATGCGGCTCTTGGGATTATGGATCGTATGCGAGACCATAGTTCGACTATCGTGGAGCAGGTGCGGCGTCGAATGTCAAAGGTTCCTTGGTCTTAATCTGACCTCCCTTCCCAGGCTTTACTTGTTAGCCAGGAATTGATACGTGTGGCAATCCTTTGGCACGAGCTATGGCACGAGGGGTTAGAAGAGGCTTCACGTCTGTACTTCACAGACAAAGACCCAGAAGGCATGATTGCTGCTCTGGAGCCTTTACATGACCTGCTGGAAGCCGTAAGGCTTTTCTGTAGCTCGTGATTGACGGTACTGAATTTTTATCAGGGACCAACGACTGCGCGCGAGACCTCATTCGCTCAAGTCTTCGGCCGTGATCTCCACGAGGCGCGGGAAGCGTGCCGTCGGTACCGTGTATACGGAGACCCAGCTGAACTGGACAAAGCTTGGGACATTTACTATGGAGTAAGCATAGCGAGTGACCTTCGCTGTAGCATGAGGACGCTTATTGGTCGTTACAGGTATTCAAGAAGATTGAGAAGCAGCTCCCACAATTGACTACGCTCGATTTGCAATATGTTTCCCCTGAGCTTCTCAAGGCCCGGAACCTCGATCTCGCTGTTCCAGGTAAAACGTGAATAAATGAGCATTGAAGAGAGAAGTTAACCCACGTTGTTCAGGCACTTACCAGAGCGGGCGACCTATTAATACCATAGTCAGCTTTGCTTCCAAGTTCACTGTTATATCATCCAAGCAGCGTCCTCGTCGGTTCTCTCTAAAGGGTAGCGACGGCCGAGATTACCAATACATCCTCAAAGGTATGATTTATTGATTAACGTGAAGTAATCATCGATTTAGCGTCTGTACAGGTCACGAGGATCTGCGACAGGATGAAAGAGTCATGCAATTGTTCAGTTTGGTCAACACTTTGCTCTCAGTGGATACCAACAGCTACAAGCGTCGTCTTCATATTCAGCGATACCCTGTCATACCTCTAGCTCCGAATGCCGGTCTTATTGGCTGGGTCCAAGACAGCGATACCCTTCACGTACTCGTCAAGGACTATCGTGAATCTCGGAAAGTTTTGCTTAACATTGAATATCGTCTGATGTTGCAGGTAAGATTTCATTCCATCTTCCTCAATCAAACTCATCGATGCAATCATCGCAGATGGCACCGGATTATGAGAACCTCATTCTGCTCCAGAAGGTAGAAGTCTTTGAATATGCTCTTGAAAATACTACAGGGCAGGATCTGTACCGAGTGCTATGGTTGAAGAGTTCGAACTCGGAGCATTGGCTGGAAAGGCGCGCCACATACACCAGATCTCTGGCAGTGAACAGCATGGTTGGTCATATCCTAGGTTTAGGCGACCGGCATCCTTCAAACATACTGCTCGAGAGGAAGACTGGGAAAGTGGTTCATATCGATTTTGGTGATTGTTTCGAGGTGGCTATGGTCCGAGAGAAGTTCCCCGAAAAGATCCCATTCAGACTGACGAGAATGCTCACTCACGCGATGGAGGTAAATAAGCTCCCTACTTCTCCTATCTGTCTGTAACTCAGTTCTTTGCTTAGGTCAGCGGCATCGAGGGTAGTTTCAGGAATACCTGCGAGATCACGATGGGAGTACTGCGCGACAACAAGGAATCCCTCATGGCCGTGCTGGAGGCTTTCGTTTACGATCCACTCATCAATTGGAGGCTCATGCAACACGATGTCGATGCTCGTCGAGGCGAAGGTAGGGGACGTTTGTGCCATTGATTTTGAGCGTCTTTAAATCTTCAAGTCCAGACTCCGATCCTGTTCGTGCCGCTGAATTACAGCGAGTGACTGCGTATGCTCAGGGCCCCACGCGGAAACTCAAGGCTGACGAAAATGATATCTTCAATGGTATGTACATGTTCTAGACGTTAGTCACAATGCTTATAGTTTTCTGGCACCTGCAGAGGCTCTGGGCGACCCCGGTGCTAAGCAGGAAGTGCGGAATGAGCGGGCACTATCTGTGTATAATCGTGTCCAGCACAAGCTTACCGGTCAGTGCATTTCACCTCTGTCTTCTGTAGGCAGAGCTTGACAACATATAACAGGTCGAGACTTCAACCCCGACGTCGTTCTTAGCGTCACGCAGCAAGTTGAGAAATTGATTCTCCAGGCCACGTCGTTGGAAAATTTATGCCAGTGCTTTTCCGGCTGGTACGTGTTTATGCAGGTTATCTTATCCTCCTGTCTTACCGGCTGCATAGGTGTGCTTTCTGGTAACAAAGGATCATGTACACTACTGTATCATATATTGTATTTTATGCACTCACTGCGGGTCATAATACTCGGATTGTGCACCGTATTGTATCCCACAGCGAGCGCCGATATCAGGAGATATTTGAGATATGTAATCATGCAGGTTGCTGTTCAACGGCCTGGTGGTCTAGTAGTATGATTCCTTCTTAGGGTATTCCGTCGTTTGGAGGAGGTCCCGGGTTCAATTCCCGGCTAGGCCCTTTTTATGCGTCGCTCCAAAACTTAATGATACAACATTTTTGGGAGCTTACGCATATGGTTGCTCGATATTGATATCGAGACCGTGGGATAAGTATACCGATTGGGGCCAGCAAGTCTCCAGGCTTCTTAGTTGTACGACGCGTCCTCTACGCGCCTCTGTTACTGTATTCGTAGCTCAGTTTCGTGAATACAGAGTCTTTCTCCCTCCTTTTAAGCCTGATTCAGTCTTACAAGATGCAGTGAACATGACTCGGAAGGCAGCAACTGAGCCGGTAGCTAGAGCGCGTCGGACGCGTCGGATGCGGCTGCTCGCGCTGAGTCCTACCAGCGTTCGTGGCTATCATGCTCGCATCTACGCACCCAGAACTACTCGGTGAGACTGTCACTAATGAAAAGGCTTACAACTAGTTGCAGATCCAACTAGTCTGGATACTCCCTGGCCATGTCCCCCTCTCCCGACCTGGAGGATGAGTTTGCAAGTCTATATGATGAAATCAGCCTTTCGTCTGAGGCTCTGGCCTGGCTAGAAACAGATGCTGGTAACACAGAGCAGAGAGATATGCAAGGTCATGCAAGGATCCTCAGGTGTGTAACAACTTATCACTTATTCTATATAATGCAATTTTCGACATTTAACTATCATTCTACAACCAGGGCACATGTGATGGCTCCAGGAATATACCTCAGGACACCATGGACACACCCAACTCGACTGCCCTGACAGAGAACGACATGCAAGGCTTCCTGGATGCCGGTAACCCCCTGCCCGCAAGAGAGGCTGTCCGAAGGGAAGCAAGAATCGTGACGTGCACGCAGAACGAGTTGCTACGCCGCCTACGGCAGATGCATCCATTCCGCGCCGTCGTGGTCGCCCTCTCGGTACAGGGAAGAAGCAATCAGCGCAGGCAGAGGCGGAAACATCTTCAGAGGCAGAACAGCCTAAACGCGCTCGAGGGCGCCCGCGCAAGTATCAAGTACCAGCCCACGGCGGCGGCTAGTTCATATGTCCGGGAACTCGATATAAACGCGGACTCGCTGCAATGCAAGACGTACCTCCCAAAAAGAAGCCGAGGAAAGCACGGATGTGTCCTAAGTGCGGGCTCGACACTTGTCCGGGGCGTGGGCCAAGCAAATGTGAGGGTGTGTGTCGAGATTGTGGTCGGAAGGAATGTCGTGGTTGGAATTCGAAGTCACCAAACAAGGACTGCATGCGGGCGTGAATATCGGAGGACTGAGTGGGGTAGGCGAGTAAGTCTGCATCCCAACACATACAGCATGTCATTTGCAACGAGCTATCTTATTCAAATATGTAGTCAGACAAGACCAGAATAACGTATAAGTGCACAGTACCTTCGAGTTCGTACCGTACTACGTGCTAGCACGCGGTGGGATGGTATTTGCACAGGGATTGTCGCAGTATGCTATAGAAGAAGACGATGGTATACGAGTCGACGCACAGCAGGCATGCAAGAACGTTTACTATCACCGCGCACGTACTAGTATTCGTCCGCGGAGACTCAGATAGAACGCGGGACGCGTTGGCATCATGTGACCTCGGTTACTTTCCAGCCAATCCTCTTTTTTCTTTTTTTCTTTTTCTTTTTCTTTTTTTTTCTTGCAACTCTATCATTATCGAGCCACATTTTTGACCTCTGTAAATAGTGGTCCTGAGTGGAGGTTTGCCTGAACCATGGGTATTCGACTCCGCAACATCCGATCGACACCCGTAAGTCATAGCTCGAATTATTGTTAAGCCGACTCCAAGGGTTTTAGGGACCCGAGGTTCCTGAGATGGAGTGCAGGGACGAGGAAGTTGAAGATGGCCGGAGTCGTGCCTGGCAGTAATGCTATTTCATGATTTGGCAAGAAAAGGTTACACGTGCGGATTCTCCGAGGTTCATTTGAAGGCCGAGTTGGTGGTCCATAAGGATGGGCACGGGTGGCGGGTGCCATTTTGGACCCGGGGGTCCCTCGGTTACGGGTGCGGTACATGAAAATGCCAAACCGCATACCACCGCGTACCCGCCACGGCGGGTCTCAGGTTCAGCGGGTTTGGCTAAGGGTACACTTCTCGCATGAAATTTGCATATATTTGAAGTAAAAGGTAACTTAGCACATCTCAAAGTTACTCATGCATGAGAATATATAGCATTCAAGGTATCCCTAAGTGTCCACAGTACTATTCCGAGCAACACTGCACTTGGTCGCTCTGTTAACTGGCCCTTGAGAGATACTTCGGGCATCGGGCACTGCGCTACCGGCACCCGCGGTCTTCTTGGCGGGTTTCGGACCCCTACCCGCCTCGGGTGAGGTGTAGGCGGGTGAGGGTACGGTGTCGTCCACGAAGCCCGCGGTGTGACCCGTGCCCAACCCAATTGGTGGAGCTCATCATCATGATGTCGCAAGGAGACTTTCCGACAAATGTCCTATATAGTGACTGCTGCGCCGGAGAGACCCCAGTCCCGACGTCAGAATATGAAGCATCTGCTTGATGATTTTGAATATGTAGTAGGACAGGAGAAAAATGATGATAAATGAGTTGCATGCCAGAGTAACCTGACAGATGGGCAAAACCGTCATTCCCGAGCCACAGAGGCACACATCATAGACAGAACAATTTAGTCTGCATAAGTATACGAATACAATCGATAGCTGTAATACTAATATTGCTCGCCTCAGAATTTACCTCGAATGGATGTGCTAAAAATAACACTGCCGCTCGCGTAGTTCGATCATCCTTCCCAGCCCAGCACTCTTGAGCTTAGACCTCAGACTCCAGCGAGGGTCCTCACCATGCCTAGAGGTGTTCCAAATGCAAAGCGCGATGAAACAGGTTTCCGATACACTACATTTCAAGTGCCATTGGCGTGTGTAACTGTCGTGCGCACACAGAATACGTATCGCTAACTGTAGGGTGGCGAATGCAATTGACAGGCCTAATCCGAAGCAGATGGGGTCTGCTTATCTCAAAGCGGAGAGCCAGACACTTTGGGCAAGAAACGCAAACAACAAGAACAGATCACAAGTTGAGGAGCCTATCTCAAGCGCGAGCGAGGTACAGCGCACTGCTCTTATGGTGAACTATCTGACGTAACCGTGCCGGAAAAATATCTAGTCCAGGCGAGGATCACAGGTCCTAGTGATTCATCCGGGGTCGCGTTACTTGCGCATTGGAAGGGCATCAGATGTTAACCCGTTAACTGTGCCCAATGTAATTGCTCACAAGCACAAGCTACCAATACCAAAGCCTGTGTTCGTTGAAGGCATAACCCGGCCACGTAAGAGCCGATCAGGAAGACCAACTCGCAGACGCTCAGCTTCCACCTCTCAAACAGCTGATGAGTATGCCGTACAAGCACTTTCAGACGATCCGGTGGGTTATGCTTATAAACTAAGGTATCTTGACAATAACCGAGAACTAGTTTGAGGAGAAGCTGGCTACCATATGCTTATCGCTCAGAGCACGTATGAAATTCTACAAGTTACGAGTCACGCCAAACGCCACTAGCATAGCGTCCACTTTCAATGAACAATTCAAACCTGAAAGTCTCCCGGAAGACGCATTCGCCCGGAAACATTTCATCACAGATCCTCCTGAAGATGCATTTCTAGTGGGAGAGAACGTTAGCCTCATCTATCTCGCATGTGACAATTCAAGAACTGAATATGCCCATAGGCACTGCGATTAGCCGAACCAACCGGAATGGGTTATATTCAGAGGTGGCCCATATACGGCGGTCAGTTCAATAGCAGAGATTACCATTCACAGCAGGCCATTCTCGATGATATAGAGACAATTCTCAGGACCGTATTACGAGAAAACCTCAGTATCTCATCAAAATCCTACAAGGTGAGAGCGTTGGTGCCAAGACAGTATGTCTTTGTGCTGACGCTCAATAGGACTACTCTGTAGTTCTTGTGATTCCAGACTTCTATGATCGGGCGTACGTCCGAGATCTCGTTGATATACTATTGGTCTGCATGGGTTTCAAGCAACTGTGCGTTCAACAGGTAAAGCTGATCCCACCACCAACCAGACCTATGCTTACTAGCTTCTCGCAGGAGTCGTTAGCAGCCACGTACGGCTCAGGCATCTCAAATGCCTGCGTCGTTGACATCGGGGCAGTCACTACGAGCGTCGCATGCGTCGACGAGGGGATGGTTATCCCCGAAACAAGGTAACCACGTTCGTCACTTACAAAACTGCCTCAGAGATCTGACAAGTTCTTAGGATATCGCTCAACATAGGCGGTAATGATGTAACCGAGTTTTTGTATGTTCTTTTGGACAGAATAAACTTCCCGTACCGGGATATAGACCTTGCACGGTGGTATGATTGGGAAGTTATGGAGGACCTCAAGAAGAGGCTATGTACCTTATCCGAGGTGAGTTTTCCCCGCTTCACAACACTATGCATGATTACAACATCAGGTTCCTTAGGCGGAGGTTGCACTGAACTTGTATGACTTCGCTGTTAAGCAGCCAAATAAACCAACTCAAAAGTACGGCTTGCGGGCTTACGACGAGATTATCCTGGCGCCAATGGTACTGTCATGATTGCCCGCTTAACCCTTTATAGCATACACTAACAACAATTCAATTCAGTGTATCTTCGAGCCTCGAGTCATCGAGTTCGATAGGAAGCGAATAGGCATGCGACCATCTTCACATCCTGATGTTACGGAAGAGATCGTGGAGGCGCCAACGGATCACGTTGTATGTCTGTCCATTCATTTCGAGGGTCTCGCCTTGTGCTCAGGATACTGACCCTTTATTCTCGCCAGACTCAAGCTATGCTCATTTCGACACAGCACCTGCTTCCGGCCGCCGAAATTGCGCAAGCGCCTATTCCAGAAGCCCCTCATGTTGCGAATGTCCCGGGTGCTGAAGGGACCACTATGGACGTTGAAGGACAGACAGGTCTGTCCACGGCTTGTCCGGCCACGCACTAGCTAACTCTCGCATTGTACCTTGCAACACACGTTTCTGATGTGCGCTC